TATATAAATAAATGAGTGAATAAATAAATAAATACATGAGTGATAAAAATTCGTTTCTTTGATCTTTGGTTACTTGAGAAAACCGCCATCAAGAGGTTGGGTAGTTTTAAATTCTCGCATAAATATATAAAACAAACTTACAATTCTCAATTCCAGACACAACTCGAACATTTCTAAAGATAGGCATACAGGCTTGCAGAACGACCAGAAACACTCACATACACGACGCAAACACACTCCTCTTGTATCAAACCAACATACAATATACACGACATATACAATGTATACACATATATACACTCATATACAGAAAAACACCAACATTCGCGTTCAAATTCACCGCAAATACTGACTAACAAGAAGAATACATCCCAGTCAGTAGCAAAAGTTTGACAGAACATGTTTTATACATTTGCTTCATACACACGCACACCACACACACACACACACACACAGACACACAGACACCACACGCACGCACACAGACACACAACACACACCACACGACGTGCAATCATGCAATTGTGGCTGGCTTCATTGCTTCATGGACGCTTCATTTCATCCCATGAATAACCAATTCTATCTAAATGAGGCAGCTATTCACCACCACAGCCACCAGCACTACTACTACTACTTCTACTACCGCCGCCACTACTACTATTACTACTACTACAACTACTACTACTACAACTTCTACTACTTCTACAACTATTGTTATTTTTAATAAATGTTGTACTAAAATTTTCTCAATAACGATACTCATACACCAGTAGACGACGACGATGATGTGGATATTATAGAAATTGATTTTAATGAATGAGTGATTGAGGTGATGGAAAGAGAAAAACAAATGAACGAACGAATGATTGATCGATTGAATGAATGAATGAATGAATGAATGAACGAACGAATGAATGAATGAATGAATGAATGAATGAATGAAAAAAGAAATGGATGAATGAATGACTGACTGACTAAATGAATGAACAAACGAACGAATGAATGAATGAATAAATGAATGAATGAATGAATGAATGAATGAATGAATGAATGAATGAATGAATGAATGAATGAATGAATGAATGAATGAATGAATGAATGAATGAAAAAAGAAATGGATGAATGAATGACTGACTGACTAAATGAATGAACAAACGAACGAATGAATGAATGAATAAATGAATGAATGAATGAATGAATGAATGAATGAATGAATGAATGAATGAATGAATGAATGAATGAATGAATGAATGAATGAATGAATGAACGAACGAACGAATGAATGAATTAATGAATGGGATCCTAATGGCATCTCGCAGTACGTCACAGAGCGATCACTGCTGGATCACACGCCAAAACGTGATCCCGATATTTATTTCTTTTAGATATGACGTCATAATGGCTATCATCATCATCATCATCATCATTATCATTGTCGTCGTCATCATCACGTGATCACCACCATGTCAGTGTCACGTGACCATCCTTATCGTCATAATCACTATCACCACTATCATCACCAACTTTGCCACCACCATTACCAGCACCACAACAACAATAATAATAATAATATTATTATTATAATCATTAATAATCATAATGATAATATTATTATAATCATTAATAATCATAATGATAATATTATTATGATCATTAATAATCATAATGATAATATTATTATGATCATTAATAATAATAATAATAATAATATTATTATTATTATCATAATAATCATAATAATAATGAGCTTTTCCCGGCAAAATGTAGCAGCGATCTTAAACCTCTAAAAATAATTTAATTGACAATTTCTTTTCCTTCATTAAAATTGTGAAAATATGCTGTCTGTCTGTATGTATGTATGTATGTATGTATGTATGTATGTATGCATGTATGTATGTATGTATGTATGTATGTATGTATGTATGTATGTATGTATGTATGTACGTACCTATGTATGTATGTATGTACGTACCTATGTATGTATGTAAGTAGGAAAAACAATTCTTTTTGAAATATGACCCACAAAGACAGCACAGCTCTACAAAAATGAAACGTCATAAACAAATCAGATCAACGTAAAGAGGAAATAAAACAACAAACAAACAAACAAACAAAGAACTAACAAACAAACAAATAAACAAAGAACTAAAAAAACAAACAAAGAACAAATAACAGCCCAGAATAGCACCACCAAAGAACAACAAAGATATAAAATACAATAATTGAACGACAAATCAACGATGCGTGAATCACTACAATATTTATATCACACACACACACACACACACACACACACATACACACACACACACACACTCACACACACAAACACACACGTACACACACGTACACACACGCACGCACACACATACAATAAATATTCATAATTTTGTGCAAGAACATGAATATTAATAATTGCTAATGTGGATTCCACTTCACATTGGAATACAACAAACTATTCACACTAAATAATTAATGGTTTGTATATGTGCGTGTCACAAACAGACAGACACATACAAACAAACACATACAAACAAACACATACAAACAAACACATACAAACAAACACACGCGTATACACACATATAAGAACACATACACACACGCACAGTCGTACACATGTACCTGATATACAATTTGTCCTCCACCAACAAATATCTGAAGCCCATAAGAACGTATCAACTACTTTAAAAAGTACAGAAAGAGTAAGTAAGAAAGATATCTTTAGAGAGAGAGAGAGAGAGAGAGAGAGAGAGAAAAAAAAAAGGAGAGAGGGAGAAGAAGAGAGTGGTAGAGAGAAAGAGAGTAAGTGAAGAACAAGCGGATGAATGAAATGGCGAAAATAAATTAATTGTCAGTTAAATTTCATTGGTTTCTTTGTGAGAATCACTATCATCATCGTCGTCATCGTCGTCCTAGTAATTAAAACTGAAAAAATATTTCAATTAAGTCGAAAACCTCTCGCCCTAAATTTATTTTTTTATTGAAAACAAGTTTTTCCGCGCCATGGAATGGAGTTGAAATTAATGTAAACAACTATAACCTCTCATATTTCTCTTTTTTTCATTTTTTGTGTGATGTTTTTTCTTTCTTTTTCTTTCTTTCTCTCTCTCTCTCTATTTCAACTTTTCCTACTTTTCTTGCTTTCTTCTCCTTGTTCTTCAATTTGTTATCTCTCCTCTTTTTCTATATATTCTCTCTCTTTCTCTCTCTTTCTTTCTCTATCTCTCTTTCTTTTTTTTCTCTCTCTCTCCCTATCTTTTTCTCTCTCTCCTCGCCCTTTAAAAATAATTCTCGGACTGAACAACCTCATTACAAGGAACTGCACATAACAATCGCCACGTCCTTTTACGTTTAACTAGGGAACAAATATACATACCTAACATGCCTGCAC